TTCCCAATTTCTGAACAACTCTGCCCCGAACGAACACAGCTTTCACTTCTTTCAAGTATCAGCTCCTGACTGAGCCCTTCCCCAGCCATCCCATCTAAAGCTGCAACCTTGCCGGCCCACATGCACATGCCTGGCTTCCTCTCTGCTTTATTATTGGCCTTATGACTTACCATAAGCGCAGTATAGTTGGGCTCATTTTGATTACTATAAAGCTCCTCTACCAGAAATAGTTTTTTGTTTACTCTTGTATCCCAGCACCCTGAACAGTGACAAAATAGGCTCCAAAATATATTAGTTAAATGAATGAAGGTAAGAAGAGCTACCTCTTAGACAGAAAAGAAAATAGATAGTAAGTGAGATAAGTACTTCATAAATGTTAAAGCATAATAAATGTTAATTATTTAAATTAATACTATGTGTCCATGATTATTCACTGGAAGTAATTTTTAAGGGGGAAATGCAGGAAGGAAAGAAGGAAGGAGAAATTCTGGTTAAAAAGGATGGTTGAGAAGTATATGGTTTTGCAAACCAGCCTCAGGCAAGGCAAAGACCGTGGAGACACCGTGGAGTTTGGCCCAGCTCCCAGGCCTGGCTAGGGGTGACGGCCTGAGGGATGAAGGGCTGGGGAGGCAGGCGGGCACCTGTGTGAGTGGGGTCATGGGCTCTATGCGGTCTTCAGGGTGCAGACTCGAGGCTCACAGACCGCTGTGTGCTGGCATCCATCGCGGGGATCCCTAGCAGGTCCTCATTTCTAGGGCACGAGTCAGGGCCTATTAGATTTGCCTGTCTCTAACGTTAGATGTGATACCCAAAAGTGAGAGAGCCACTCCGAGTCCAGGAGAGGGGCTGCCGCGTGGGTTCATTTACTCTTCAGTGGAATTCTGTGCTACCAGAGTGAAATCCGGAGTGTCCCCATGATGCCGCTTTTGCCTCACATGTGGTCATGTTACATGGCTTTTCACAGGTTGGAGTGAAATACATTCACCTACATCTAGACCATTAGTAATTTCCAAACATATTTTAAAGTGCAAATGCCGCTTTAAAGGAGCACTCGATCTCTTGAGGCTATAAAGGACATACCGTTCTCACAGGTCTGTGTTCAGATGCAGCTATCTCAGCTGGGACAGGCACGGCCCATGAATAAAGTTCCTTTGTAAATCACACGGCCTTTGCATTTTATAGCACCAAGTGGATTTTAATGGATGTCCCCATGGCCTTCACTCATTGACTCTTCTACTCCTGTTCACTAGTCTGGGGGTCAGAGGCCCGGAGGCTGCTTCTCTCATCGACAGTGACGAGCTGTGTGGGGACGCAGAGGAAGAGGCTCTGTCCCATAACTCTGTCATCACATAAAACTTTCCAAGCCTTTCCCGCTTCCCAGCGGAACGTGTGGCAGTCTCTACGACACCTGCCTCAGCTCTGATGTGCAGTTTACACTTGGTTCCCACGTGCAGCCGAGCTCTGCTTGCTACGTTGCTGCGGGAGTGGCCCAGGGCGTCTGATCTGTGAAGCTAGTTAAGGCTGGCTCCCCTCCTTTCAAAGCGGCGACCTCAGACTGCGTGCTGCACTGGGAATATGTGTGGGTACGTATGCATGTGTGCACATAGGGGTAAGAACATGTGCAGATATTATGAGAGAAAAGGTAACAGCAAATGACAGCCCGTAAAGGAAACAGTGAGGAAGGGCGTGAGAAAGGAAGGGAATTAAAATTCATCTGGCTCCTCCTATGAACCAGGCACCTGGGAAAGGAGGCACGGGGGAACAAAGATGGGGGGATGCAGGGATCTGGATGTTAAAGAATAATTTTGTAAAGGCCCCTTCCTGAAAGCACTGCTGCAGGAGTGGACGCTGGCAGTCCAGCAGGGAGCACCGGTCAAGTCGTCGAGAGGAGACAGCGGCTGGGGGCACTGATTCGGGTGCGGTCTCCCCTGGGAGCTGGGCGGCTGTCTCACCGGGAGGTGAGTTATCGCTGAAGCTCTGCTGGGCAGTGTAGGTAGCATGGCTTCAAGCTGTGACGCCCTAAACAGGTTCGGCCCCAGAATACAGTGCTCAGGGAACAGACAAGGTCAGGAAGACAGCCCAACACATGTATTTCCCTTTAAACCCTAGAGACTGCTAAGTCTCCGTAATTAAAAAGATCCTAGGAGACTCTAGATGGCAGGGGTTTAGGCATTAGTATCAGTTTTTTTGTTCACTTTTATTTTTAACCAGAGGTACTTAAAATTTCTAACCTGCATCTTTGTGGTCCCTCTGGTGGGCAGAGGTGTAGGGTGGCCTTGAGTAATTTCTGGGTTGGTGGAAGGCAGGTCAGGTCCAGCTGAGCTTGAGACATGACAAAGAGAGCTTTAAGTGTCTTTAAAAACTATGATTTAGGAATTTCTAGTCAATTACTGTTTTTGCTTAGATGTCACTTTGGCTTCCTCCACTCCTCCTACCCCAATATGATGTCAGCATCATTGGACTTGTTATAGAAGCTTCTCTACCTCCATTTGCATTTGGGAATAGATTGCAATCATTCGGCCCAATTCTTTATCATTCCTTATATCCATGCTTCTTGCCATATAACTTTGCAGTGTGGGCTGATGGCCTTCTCAGCCTCTTGACCTTGGGTTCAGTCATGTCATTTTCTTTGGCAATAGGATGTTTAAGAAAAGGGATGCAAGCAGAGGCTTGGAATGGACTTGCACACTGGGGCTTGCTCTTCTGCCAAGAGAAGAATGACAGAATGACAGACACATGGCACTGGCTGTGGTGCTCCAGCCAAGCCCACCCTAGACTAGAGCCCTGGAAAATCCATGACACAAGCCCAGAAGAGACAAGCAGAGCCACCCAGCTCAATCCACCTTGAAAGAGTCGAACTCTGCCGATGTGTGAAAAATAAATGTTCATTGTTAGATGCCACTGGGGTTATATGGTTGTTAGTTATACAGCAAAAGCTCACTGATACAAGTGCCATTTGATTCATGCTCCCCTTGCCTGTCAGAGTGATATTTCTAAAATGGAAATCCAATTATCCTAAAATTACTCTGCCTAAGACACTTTAGGCAGAGTGACTTCCTGTTATTGGGCTGAATGGTGTTCCCCCCCCCAATCCATATGTTGAAGTCCTAACCACCAATACTTCAGAACGTGACCTTACTTGAAAACAGGATCATTGAAAATGTAAAATGTAATCAGTTGGGTAAAAGGTCATACTGGAGTAGAGTGGATCCCTAATCTAATATGAATGGTGCCCTTATAAAAAGGGGAAATTTTCCCTGGGTGGGTAGCTCAGTTGGTTAAAGCATCCTCCCAGTAAGCCAAGGTTGTGCGTTTGATCCCCGGTCAGGACAACAAATCAGTGTTTCTCTTTCTCTTTCTAAAAATCAATAAAAAATGCTTTAAAAAAGGAAAATTTGGAGACAGACATGCCATGAGAGCATAAAGGTAAATATCAAGATGATGTGTCTATAAGTTGAAGAATATGGAAAATTACCAGAAAGCACCAGCAGCTAAGAGAGAGGAATAGAACGGATTCTCCCTTACAACCCTCAGAAGGAACGAATTCCACCGACACCTGATCTCAGGCCTCTAGCTCCAAAACTGCGAGATGATGGATGTCTGCTCTTTAAGCCGCTCCCCATTACCTTTAGGGTAAAGTCTAACCCCCTTCACAAGGTATGGAAGTCTTTTCTTTCTTTTCTTTTTTAAAATTATAGTTGACAAACAATATTATATTAGTTTCAGATGTACAATATAGCGATCCCCCATTTGAATACCTTACGTTGTGATCAACGTGAACACTACGTCTAGTAACCATCCCTCACCGTGCAGTTATCGTCTATTATCTACTACATTGGTCTTCACCTTTTCACACACCTTCCCCCCCAAACTCCCCTCTGGAAACATCAGTTCGATCTCTGTTTCTATTGTCTGTTTTTGTTTTGTTTATTTGTTTGATTTTTTAAATTCCAAATATAAGTGAAATCATTTGCTATTTGTCTTTCTCTGTGTGACTTATTTCACTTAGTATATTATCCTCCAGGCCCATCCATGTTGTCACAAATGGCGGGTTTTATTTTTATTTGTTACTGCTGAGGAATATTCCACTGACGTTTCGTAAGCTGGCCTCCGCTACATCTGTGGTTTCCCCCTCACTGTGCCCTGGTAGCTGCAGCCTTACCCGGTTCTCTGTGCTTCAATCAGCTGCTGCAGAGCTCGCGATCATCCTACGACTCTGGACTGAATGCCCTTCCTGCTACCTTCCGATCCCCCCCTGGATTCCACATGGTCACCTAATTACCTTCTACTTGTATTTCAAGCTCCACATCAGGCGTCATTTCTGGAAACTTCCTCCTCACCTGCCCCATCCTAGTGACTGGGGGATGCCCCACCGAATGCCCCCAAGCACCCTGTGTAGACGTTCTCATTACAGTTCATCACACATTTATCTTCATCAACGGCTTGCTGACCAGCCTCCTGCGGACAGGGTCACACGCTGTCTGTCTTTTCCCCCAGTGCCCAGCACAGTGCTCGGCCCAGAGGGGCAGTTTGTGGGAGGGATCTGAGTGCTCCTGCGCCGATGTCCAAGCAGACGCGCTCCCGGCGTAGGGGAGGTACATCCTCTGTGTGACAGCTGGCAGCTGAGTTCATTTGGAAGCAAAAGCACCCGGTGAAAGAGCAAGCATCGCTCCTATTCTACCTGGCGCCTCTCTCCCAGCCTCAGCTCGGCTCTTTCGTGCGAGTGGCCGGAGTTACTGCCGGCTGCGGGCCTTTCATCCGCCAGGCTGACAGCCCGGTCCTCCTTCTCAGGAGGCAGGCACTATTAGAGCCACATTTTTGCTTACCAAGAGAATTGTTAATGGCTATCCTGGAGGGGGAAATCTATAAATACCCAAACTTTAAGGAAGCCCGAAGCTTCCTCTCTTCCTTGGCTAATGAAACTCTCCGCGCACCGCAGGCACTGCCGCGTGGCCCTCACCCAGGGGAAGGACAGGCCTGGACGGGGTGTTTTCTTTTACCTGTTTAGTCCTCGCTTTGGAATCCGACGACAGGTTGTTGTAGGTGTAATGAGCCTGCGTGACTCCGCAGAAGAGAACAGCAACTATCCCTGAAATTGAAAAGCACACCGGTTACGCCAGCTCCCTCCTGTCGGGGGCAAGGGGCAGCCTGGCCCGCGGGAAGCAGACGAGGCTGGTGCCGCGGAGTCAAGGCAGCTACTGATGGCTGACGATGACTCGGGAAACCTCGCCCGTGCTCTAAACATGGGCCTCGCAAGATCAAAACTGCAGAAAAAACTCAGGACCTCAGGTATGAAGAAGCAGATTCTTCCTGAGGATAAATGACCCCCGGCCCGAGTTAGGGAAGCTGCACTTGGACAAACACGAAGGAGAGGCTGCCCAGCCCGCTCTGGACCCCTCTCCGCCAGCGCCCGCTGCTTGCCGCAGTTTGTCCTAAATGCCGACATATTCGCCCAGACGTTTCCTTTCCCTGCGTGCTTTGAGGAATCTGAGGAAGTTCCTGTTATGTCATAATTTAGATTAAAAACCATGAGTCAGAAACGTAAGAAATCTGCAGGGGTTTTGCTGCCCCTGCCAATGACCTTACTTGCCAAGCGGGAAAGGGAGAGCCTTGTTTGTCCCTATTACACCTGCTTTAAACACTACACGAGGCCAGGCAGACACAAGGCGCTCCCTGGGGATGGAGGGGTAGCTACCATGGGGCAAGTTTGTCTCTGGGCTCTGATAGCCCCTGAGTTGCCCCTGGGCTGGGATGGGGAAGCGGTGGAGGCCGCATTCTATTTTGGATTAAATAGTCTGTTAATTATGAGAAATTGGGCACAGAGGAGGGCTTTGGGGTAAACACGAGACATTCAGTATTCCTCAACTCAGACCAAGGGGATGAACTGAATTTTAAGCAGCAGAATCTTTTCAACTAAAAACACTCATAAATTAAATGTTGATAATTCTTAAGAGTATAGAGATATGTGAACTGAACACTGACAGTTCAAACGAATCTGCAATAAAGAAGTTTAAAGAACCAAGCATATTTTTAATATGGAGACTTTATGCTTCTATTTATATGTTGGTTATTTAGGGGATTAGCTTTGGATAAAATATTGCTAAGACATACTTACCTAGCACAAGTGTCTAGATATTTTTGTTACTTATTTCTTTTAATATTATGTTTCAAAATTTTAGGCAAAAATGAGAGCAACTAGAAAAATTTTGCCAAGAAATATAGATGCAATATGCATTTCTATAGTTTTTTGGATAACATCTCAGTTTCTTAGCCTCTTTTCAGAAATTCTAAGGGAAAAATATTTATAAAATGTTATATTTTACTCTTTACAGATTTTCTATTAAAAAACAGCTAACACCAGAAACACTGTAGGGTCCTGAGCTCTTCAAGTACTCAGGTACTAGGAGCACTGCCCTGTGTGTGCTGTTTCCCTGCGGATCTGCAGTCGGCCTGAGATCTTGCCGGGTGAGGCTCAGTGGCTCCCACTGGGGTGGGGGCAGTGGCCACGCACTGCTCTGGGCAGAGGCGCCAGTGGAAGGGTGGAAGCGTGTGGCTGGGGTGCAAGCGCGCTCTGAGAACAAGAAGTCGCCCACCTGGCTCCACGGGAGGGGCAGGGGTGGGGGCGAAGATGGGCTGAGCGCCATTGGTGGCCAAGACTGTGCTCATTTTATTTACATCATCTTATTTACCTCCTTGATTTATTACCTCCCAGCAGGCTCAGCAGGATTAGATGCCCGAGCCTCCCACGCCCCCCCTTCTCAGGAACAGCACCTCCATTCTTCCTGCTACTCAAGCTGGGCTTGGGCGGCACCCTGCCCTTCCTCTCTCTCTGCCAGCGATGTCATTGACTTGTCCTTCGAAACTGACCGGAACCTACACGCTTCTCAACAACTGCAGCCCTAACCCCCTTTTCAGGCCACCATCATTTTTGTCTGGATTACAGCAATAGATTCCTGATTGGTCCCCTGTTTCCCCTGCTGGCCCCCACAGTATACATCGCCCAGCAGCAATAGTGATTCTTTTAAGAGAAGTCAGATGGCGTCAGCCCTTTGCTGCACATTCCGTAACGGGCGCCATAGCTAACGCGCTGGGGATCAGCTGCCGCCCCCGCCAGGCGCCTGGCCTCACCCTGCCTTCCTCCCCGGCCTACTCTACGCTCCCTGCCGTGCTCCACTGCGGGACCCTTGGAAAACTCTCCCCCATATCCGCCCGGCTCCCTTCCCCCGTAATGTTACGTAAGCACACAGGCCCTCTCTGTGCGCTCTGAAAATGGGCCTTCTCACCATTCTCCACTGCCTATTTGGCTTTATTTTCATTTCATATTATTTACCACCACTTAATATTTTATATATTTACGTGTTTATTTTCTTCCTTCCTGAACTGCAGCGGAGAGCCCCTGGGGTGCAGAGGGATTCCTTGGTCCCTGACCCTCAGAGCAACGCCAGGCACATGGTAAGCACTCAGCAAGTATTTGTTGATTAAGTAAATGAGCATTTCTATTCCCATGTAACAAGTAAGGAACTAAAGTAATTTATTCAAGGTCACCTTGAAACTGACAGAGCTGAGATTCAAAATTCCACAAGCTCCCTGGGCTTTTCTGCTGTCAGACCATTCATGAGTGTTTTAAGGTAATCTGAAATCATGTAAAAATGTCGTTTCTGAGGTCCCAGGGCAGTAGCCAGAGGTGTGATGAAGACTGCATTTGGATGCCTGCCTGAGGCTATTTTCCTAGCAGCTGCACTCGTTTTCCATCCTTGCCTCCCCTGGAGCACTAACAGGCAGGATTCCTGATGAAAGGTTTTGACTTCTGTATGGATGTCACAGAGGCCACAAACAATGAGTGTGCCTACATGACCAGAGTGTGGGGTTGTGATGAAAATAAGACAACTGAGCTGATTGGACCCTCAGTGTTAGCATCCATAAACCTAATTCTATACCTTGGTAATCATCACACACAAATTACTATAATTAGTATGACTTTTATAAACCAAAATAGGCTTCTAAAATGTCTCATCTAAATACATCTATTACCTATGCAACTGTCTGCCCTCAAAATAGACTCAGTGCTCACAGCCTGTACCTTACAGAAGTGCGTGCCAATGTCCTGTGTTTTCCATGCTCAGGCTGCTTGCACTCTGCTGCTGGTGTGTGGGGTCTAGACAGCTCTCACTGCTCNTGTGCCGATGTCCTGTGTTTTCCATGCTCAGGCTGCTTGCACCCTGCTGCTGGTGTGTGGGGTCTAGACAGCTCTCACTGCTCTCTGGATCTCGGATTCTCGGGTGCACAGAGGAGGGAGAGGGACCAGATGTCCTTTGGGCCAGTCAGCAAACCAGTGTCTGAGCTGCAAAGCCACTGGGCTGGTCTGTGACCCTGGGGNCGGATTCTCAGGTGCACAGAGGAGGGAGAGGGACCAGATGTCCTTTGGGCCAGTCAGCAAACCAGTGTCTGAGCTGCAAAGCCACTGGGCTGGTCTGTGACCCTGGGGCTGGGCCTGGCAGACACACCCTCTTCTGCCAGGGGAGCTGCAGACGCCCGCCGGGGCGCGGCCAGGAAGCCTGCTCCCTCCTGTCTGCCTGCTGTTCCTCCAGGGGCCTCTTAGCAGTGGCTCCTCTCCAGAGCTTTGGTAACTGGTTCCAGCCTTGATTCCTGTTTTTGGTTTTTTTTCTTTTCTGCACCTCCAGACCAGCCTCATGGGACCCCACCAAGAGAGCAGAAGCAGACGGGCAGTGCCCTCAGGGGCCTGGGTCCCAGCTCGGTGGTTCCCTCTCAGGAGCTTCCAGATTCCCTTCCCTTTGCCCTCCAGTGTCAGGGGTCACACACGTGCTTCCTGCAAACACCACCTCTGTGTTGCTTCAGCATTTCACTTACCTTTTCAGCTCACCACCTGCACCCAACCTCCTGTGTTCCACTCTGAAAGCAGCCAGCCAGTCCCTCTTTTCCAGTACTTTCCTGTGGGTCCCTTCTCATCCTAAACCTTAGTGGTTCCCTGAAGCTATTGATGGTTTGCCATCTGGAAATAAGATTTAACATGTATCCTCCTGTTGTTACTGGGATAATGGGGGATGCCAAGTCCCAGAGGCCTGAACTCAGTCTTAGTTCAATACTAAAAAGTGATATGAGTCGGAGCCACTTGATTGGAACAAGAGCCTTGGGGATGAGAGGAAATTAGGCCTCGATCTACCGAATAGGCATGATCCTGGCCCCGATGTGTGTCCTGATTCCTAGTGGCATGAACTTGTGGACAATGTGAGAGCTATCCCACCGCGGAGTGGCTGCCCCACGATGTGAGACGTTCCCATCGTTTGAAATGTTTGGGTTAAACGATCATCTGCCAGACCTGTTGTAGAAAAAATTCTCTTCATAGAGCAGACGTCTGGAGGCCCTCCAGCTCTGCTCTTTTCCTACACATTATATCAATTCTCCAGGATTAACACCTCAATTTGTCTTTCTCTCAGTTCAGGACAAGGAAATAATACTGGTTCCAAATGAAACTTTTAGACATTTTGAATAGAAGCAGCCCAACATTCTCAAAAAGCAAAGACAAGACAAGCTTACAGGCTTTCAAATATGTTTTTCAATTTTAGACAACCTTTCTAAGCTAATATTAAAAAAAATATCATCACCATACCTTTTAAGCATACAAACTTAGCTTTTCTCAAGTAAGTCATGAGGTCTAAAGATAAACTAAAATATGTTTCTAAATCCCTAGACGCACACTTCCAGGTGAAAGGACACTGAAAGTGGTGATTTCTGGTGACTGTGCCCAGGTGGAGACGCAGCTCACCTCAGAGAGCCCCCTCCTTCCCTTTTCTTTCCTGCCTCTCCTCACTCCTGTCTTGCTTGTCCCTGTCACTCTCAGGCTGTGCCTAATTCACTGTGAACCCTACTGTCCTCCCCATGCATTAGAAGCCACCTGGCTTTCCCCGGAAGCTCGGCTGCTGCCAAGAATCTGCATTAGGCAGAGGAGTATCAGAACTACGCCTAATGCCTCCGAAATGTTAATGTACAACCAGAGCCCTGGAGTCCTGTTAAGTGCAGACCCTGCTTCGGGAGGCTGAACCAAGCCCAAGATGGTGTGTTTTATGCTCC